CTCTATGTGTGTCATTTTTAAAGTGTTACTAAACCCACAACAGTAAAATCAGTCTTTATATGCAGTAAAGCATGCTTGATATACTCACTGTGGAACCTAAGGGGTTAATCCTCTGCATTGTGTAAAAATGTTGTTTGCTCCTGTCTTCTCTGATCCTCCCCTTCTTCCAGTGCCCCCCTCTTATTTATTTATGGTACTTATATAGCGCTGTCAATTTACACAGCACTTTACATATATATTGTAAATTCACATCAGTCCCTAACCCTTGAGGGGTGTACAATTTAAGGTCCCTAACTCACATACATACACATACTAGGACCGATTTAGACAGGAGCCAATTAACCTACCAGTATGTCTTTGGAGTGTGGGAGGAAACCCAGTAGGCACAGGGAGAACATGCAAACACTCCAGGCAGGTGGTGTGACGAAACGCGGCGTCAGACCCCTGACCTTCTCACCAAACTCGTGACCGAAGGACTAGCCAATCTAAAACCGCGATGTCATGTGCGTAACAATGCCACGCCCAGCTGCGCCCTACACAATGATTTTCCAGCTAATTGGACCACAATCTATGTACTGGCAGCCTGGGAGCGATTGTTACTGGGTCAGGTTAATTACGCAATTAACCCTTCACACTGTGTCAAGGATCCGGATATGACCAGAGATGTGTGGACTGACACAGGGAATAGCAGGCTTCAGGAGGATGTAATAATATAATTTATTAAGAGCTATACAAGTATACAAAAACGCACAGTGCAAACAAAAACCAAACCTTCAACTAATATCTGTATGTTCAGAAACACAGGCGTAGTCAGGGCTGGAGAGGTAGAGTGGTCAGGCAGGCCGGGTCAGGAACAAAGGTGAGATCCAGGCTGCTGAAAGGCACCTGCTGGTAAGTCCCAGTACTGCAACCATAGAGCAGGTGAGCCACAGCACCACCAGTGATGAGTCCTTTCCTGACACACTGCCACCACCTCCTTTTTGTACAGAGAAAGAGGAAACTCGGCGATATCAGCTATAACACTATAATGGTTGAGATAATCTTCTGTATAACACGGTTACCACAGACTGGTTATACAGAGGGTTAAACAAACACAGTAGCGCTCTTTTTAGGGACAGGAATTCAGAAATTGCAATAAAGAGCTATAGAAACAGTTCAACGCTTTCAGAAGAAAAGATTGATTACTAAAAGGTCAAAGGGGTGCAATAAAAATATTTACAGAAAAAAGATGTAACCAATATATATATAAATATGCAGAGAACAACAGCACAGCAAAGAGATAACAGAGAGAAGTTAGAGGGTTAAAGTACTTGCCAAAGTCCTGGGTTAGCAGATCAAGTTTTCAGAGCGAAAGGGCACGGATCTCCCAAGTTGGTTCTGATGTTAAACGGGAGAATTCTTCAACTTAGCTTTCTTAGGCCTGACAACCCATTTTGTAGTTCCCCAGCAGGGGGTGTCTCTGAAGTCAAGGACCAATACCCCGTTTAGGGAGGGATCGTCTGGGTGTAGGCCTAAACTAGAGCCAAAATCTCTTATAGTTCATATTTTGGCTCATAACGTTCCCTGTGCACAAGTGACAGTCCTGCCCGTGGGTAGATTATTATGCAGACACATCTGAAGAATGATTAGTTATGAAATTATACACTGAATGGTTCAAGAGATCTACTTTTCTGCTTTCCTATGTATTCCAGCCAAGGAGAGTGACCTATCAAACTGTTTGTCTCCTCGTGGCCAATTTGAAGTTATGCCTGGCTTTTATGTAAGGCTCTCATATTCCAAGATATGAGACATAGGGAAAAATGGATTTTAAAAGTGTTATCTGGTTCTGTCACATATGCTGAGTTAGGTTTATTAGCATAGTTATGTGTGCTTCCTTGGAATGTCTTTGAACTTCTGGGAATGCTTGCGTTATCTTTTATGAGGTGTTATATTGCACAGCTCTCTTAGACAACCAGGCACTTTGGGGCTCCCTGCTGTGCTCTGGCCTGCCTGCTACACTTCCAACACCCACACCAACCAGATGACACTGTGGCTCTCAGAGAAAGAGGGGGGATAATGCGGGGAGACATGGAGAATTCTTGACAAAATGGAGGGCCGTGTCTGTCTCTGATGTGCACGATTGCGACAGGTGGTGCTGTGGTTGGGATTTGAATGAACAACCCTTGTACTGCCAGGCAGAAGTGCAAACCATTTAGCCACTGTGTTGCCCTGTATAAGACAGTTTAGTGTGTATTGCTGGAGAGGTTTTATTTTCCTTGTGAGGTTGCATGTGATCAGCACAGGGCTAATCAGCACTGTCCAGACAGAGGTCAGGGGTTCTGCATTCTCCTAGAATGAAAACTCCTCCTACAAGCTTTAACATGTGCTCTGCTGGACACTGATAGAAGTCACAAGACTGCTCTAACTGCTGATGAGAAAAGGTATTTAGCAGTTTCTATTTACTAAAATAGTTGCATTTCTATGTTCTGCTGCTCTGCATGTCCATTAACATACACACAGCCTCAGCTCGGCCCTGCCCCCTTCCTCTCCTGATTGGCTTACTGGCTGTGATTCACAGCAGTGGGAGCCAATAGCTCCCTCTGCTCCCTCAGCCAATCATGAGATTTCCCAGGAGAACTGAGGCTCTCGTGGACATTGCTTGATCAAGTGGGGGCTCAGGTAAGTGTTAGGGGTGGCTGGGGGGGCTGCTACACACAAAAGGATTTTTTTGCCTTCATGCACAGAATGCATGAATGTAAAAAAAAACCTTGAGACTTTAGAACCACGTGCTACTAAACCCACAACAGGAAAATCAGTCTGTATATGCAGTAAAGCATGCTTGTTATACTCATTGCGGAACCTAAGGCTCCATGTACACAGGGCATTTAGAAAACACTTCTGAAGGATGGAAAATGACTAGTGGAAAACGTAGGTTAAAAAACGTCTGTTTAGCTGCGTTTGCATACCGTGTTTATGCGCGTTTATGAGCGTTTATGTTTAGAAGCGTTTTTTTAAGATAACCTCAGGAGGCCTTCCAAAATGCCCAGAACTCAATGAAAAACAGTAAAAAAAAAACTGTACTATTTCAGACATTTTGAGGAAATAGAGAGAGCAGAAGCAGAGAGAGCAGTATTTGTTGAGATTAGCTGTCTTTTTTTTTTTTTGTGGTGTTTGGATGTGTTCCAGCTCATATCTGTGCAGGAATTATTGTAGCAGTGTCTAACATATTTTCTTTTCATGCGAAACCTCAAAGTGTGGTGTTCCAGTTCCATTTGAGTACCGGGAAAAAGCTTTGCATGCATTTTTCATGATAAAAAAAGGCTCTGCACAGCATCTGGAAATGGAAGAGTTAAAAAAAAATTTCCAAACGCAAACGCTTACGCTTATAAACGTGGTTAGCCGCATTTACAAGTGTTTGGCGTTTGAAACGCCAATAAAATCTACTCCTGAACGCAAGTTTGGTGCGTTCAAAAAAATGACTGTAAACTCAACTGCCTGTAAAAGACTGTAAACGACATAGTGTACATGGACACATAGGAAAACATTAGGGAGAGTTCAGGGGCTGCTGAAAAAAAACACACAGAAAAGCTCCTAAACGTGAGTTTATCAGTTGCAGTGTACATGGAGCCTAAAGCAGGCCATAGATGGGTCGAAAACCGTCCGTTTTTTAAAAAAAAAAAGAAGAAAAATCGGTAGTTCAATCGGCCCACGTTACCACCATTGGTAAAAAAAAAAAAATCGGCTGATTTTCATCCCGTTTACGGCCGGCAAATATAATAGTGGAGTGTCCCTGCAGAGAGCTCGGATACAGATGTTTCTATTCGGATACAAATAGATACAATGTTGCAACCGCTATACTTTTAAATGTCAAATATACAGTAATAGCGGAGCTCTCTGCAGGGACACTCCACTATTCTATTTGACATTTAAAAGTTGCGGTTGCAACATTGTATCTATTTGTATTCGTATAGAAACATCTGTATCCGAAATGGATACAAATAGATACAGATGTTCTTCTTTTTCTTTGTCTTCATCTTCTTCTGTTTCTTCTTTTTCTTCTTCTTGCAGGTCACAGCTCATGCGCATTTTTTTAATCGGTAAAAAGATCGGCCGATTTGCCCATCATTGCTGTGAAAATTGTTCGATCGACAAAATCGGCTGTTTTTTTTCCAACATAACTGATTAAAAAAATGTGTCAAAATCATGAAAAATGGCAGACAAATTCACCAACGATCCGAAAATCAACCGAATTTTTTGGACGATTTTTGACCCATCTATGGACTGCTTAAGGGGTCATTCCTTTGCATTGTATAATAAAGCTGTTTGATCCTGTCTTCTTCCACAGTCCCCAATACATCTGCTGATAGCACAAAGTCCTAGGAGGCACTCTGCATGTGCTCAGTTTGGTGTTTATTGCTAGCAAGTTTTTTTTTTTTCTTGGGAGGGTGCAGTCATGCCTCATAGGACAGTCAGAGGGGAAAGAAAACTCCTCCTACAAGCTTAAACCAGTGCTCAGCCTGACACTGATAGAAGTCACAAGACTGCTCTAACTACTGCTGAGAAAAGGTATTTAACAGTATATATTTACTAAAATAATTGCATTTCCATGTTCTGCACTGTGGGAGAGCAGATATAGTGAATGCAGGGTTCTGAGTTTAGTATCACTTTAACTAGTTGCCGACCGCAGATAGCCAAATGATGGCTGCACTGCGGCTGGCCAGTTCTGGGAGGGCGTCATATGACGTCCTCCCAGAACGCGTCTCCTTCGCGCCCCCTGGGGTGTGCACACAGTGATCTCTGTGATCGCTGTGTCCTACGGACCAGGGTGGACTGACAACTTATGGGGCCCCTATATCCTTGCCCACACTCAATCCACACCCAGAAAAGCCAATGAAAGGAACCAGGGGCATCTCATGGGGCTCCCTACTGACCCTGGGCCCTCGGGCAGTGCCCGAGTTCCCAAATGGTCAGTCCGCCCCTGCTACGGACACAGCTGATTACGTGATGTGGTAAAAGGCCAATCACAGCTGCCTTTTACCACATGATCAGCCGTGTCCAATGGCACGCTGATCACCGGAAAAAGCAATTGCCGGTTCTCAGCTGCACTTTCCTCATGCTGTCAGAGCGTGAGGAAAGTACTGCCGAGAACCGGCAGTTGTCAGAGCAGGGATCGGCACCGATCATCAGGGCACTGATGATCAGTGCCGTGATGATCGGTGCCCAGCAGTGCCACCCACCTGTGCCCAGCAGGGCCACTCACCTGTGCCCAGCAGTGCCACCCACCTGTGCCCAGAAGTACCACCCACCTGTGCCCAGCAGTGCCGCCAGTCAGTGCCCAGCAGTGCCGCCAGTCAGTGCCCAGCAGTGCCGCCAGTGCCCAGCAGTACCCATCATCAGTGCCACTTCATCAGTGCCACCTATCAAAGCCACCTTTCAGTGCCACCTAATTAGTGCCGCATATCAGTGCCACCTCATCAATGCACATCAGTGAAGAAGAAAAGTACCTGTTTGCAAAATTTTATAATAGAAACAAAGAAACTTTTTTTTTTTTTCAAATTTTTTGCTTATTAGCGCAAAAGGTAAAAAAACCCAGTGGCAAGTAAATACCAAAAGAAAGCTCTATTTGTGAGAAAAAAAATTATTGAAATTTCATATGGCTATAATGTTGCATGACCGCACAATTGTCATTCAAAGTGTGGGAGCGCTGAAACCTGAAAATTGGCCTGCGCAGGAAGGGGGTATAAGTGCCCGGTAGGCAAGTGGTTAATTAATGATGTTAGGTAACCAAACAAATCTACCAGTTTAGCAGGTTTTTTGTTTTAATGTTGTGTGTACTGTGGTAGATCAGATATATAGTGAATGCAGGGTCCTGGGTTTAGTAACACTGTAAGTATAGTATGTTTTATGCTCTTTTGATTCTTGTAAAAAGATAGCTGCACTCATGTTTGAAAATAAACTGGGGATTGAAGAAAATGTCAAAGGCAAACTTAGAAAATTGGAACATCTAAAAGGCAAGGCGGAGTATGGGAGGTGATCTGTACTGTTGCAGTTGTACTGTGTAAATAAAGTTATTGAGAAAAAAAGGCAGTCTGCAGCGTGTGGTTCACACCCCCATCTCCCTGGCAGAAGGATCTCATCTGCTGTGTGGAGTGGACTGTCACCTCGTTCGGCCGGCTGCTGTCCCTGCTGTCAGCTCAGCGAGGAGATGAGCTTCTTGTTGTGAGTGTCCCTGGGGCTGGCATTGCCTCTCTCATCCCTTCCTAGTTTAGTTGTGATCTGTCATCACTGCCTTCTTTCCTCCTACAATCTATCATCTTCTCTATTGTCGCAGGGCGATGTGCCCACTGTCCCCCCACAGTTTAGCCGGTTAGCACCGATTCTGCCCTTTGTGTGTCTGGACATACAGCCGCCCTGTGACCGCAGCCTCCCTACACTGATCCCTGCATGCTTCTTGCTGGTCAGCACAGCCCACGGTGTTTTTGTTTCCCTGGCTGCAGCTGTCTTGGGTAGAAGGATCACAGAGGTGCTCCTGGGAAACTTTTCATGGCACCTAGGCCTGCCTTGACAACCATTCCCATTCCTAAAGCATTCTAAGGTTGGCTGCTTCATGCTAATTCTTCATAGATGCAGCAACACTGGAGCACTCAGGGGAGGTAGAGCAACAAAAAAAAAAAAAATAACAGTTGTCAAGAAAGTCAAGTGTTGTCACATATTGGAGGTGTATAGGGAGCTGTCAAGTATTGGAGGTGTACAGGGAGCTGTCAAGTATTGGAGGTGTACAGGGAGCTGTCAAGTATTGGAGGTGTATAGGGAGCTGTCAAGTATTGGAGGTGTACAGGGAGCTGTCATATATTGGAGATGTACGGGGAGGTGTACAGGGAGCTGTCAAGTATTGGAGGTGTACAGGGAGCTGTCATGTATTGGAGGTGTACAGGGAGCTGTCATGTATTGGAGGTGTACAGGGAGCTGTCATGTATTGGAGGTGTACAGGGAGCTGTCATGTATTGGAGGTGTACAGGGAGCTGTCAAGTATTGGAGGTGTACAGGGAGCTGTCATGTATTGGAGGTGTACAGGGAGCTGTCATGTATTGGAGGTGTACAGGGAGCTGTCATGTATTGGAGGTGTACAGGGAGCTGTCAAGTATTGGAGGTGTACAGGGAGCTGTCATGTATTGGAGGTGTACAGGGAGCTGTCATGTATTGGAGGTGTACAGGGAGCTGTCATGTATTGGAGGTGTATAGGGAGCTGTCAAGTATTGGAGGTGTACAGGGAGCTGTCATGTATTGGAGATGTATGGGGAGCTGTCAAGTATTGGAGGTGTACGGGGAGCTGTCATGTATTGGAGATGTACAGGGAGCTGTCAAGTATTGGAGGTGTATAGAGAGCTGTCATACGTATTGGAGAGATGTATGGGGAGCTGTCACGGAGGTGTATACAGAGCTGTTACGTATTGGAGGTGTACGGGAGAGCTATTGGAGGTCAGGGAGCGGAGGAGGTGTATAGGGAGCTGCAGCGTATTGGAGGCGTACGGGGAGCTGCCGCGTATGTATTGGAGGCGTACGGGGAGCTGCCGCGTATTGGAGGCGTACGGGGAGCTGTCGCGTATTGGAGGCGTACGGGGAGCTGTCATGTATTGGAGATGTACGGGGAGCTGTCGCGTATTGGAGGCGTACGGGGAGCTGTCGCGTATTGGAGGCGTACGGGGAGCTGTCGCGTATTGGAGGCGTACGTACGGGGAGCTGTGTCGCGTATTGGAGGCGTACGGGGAGCTGTCGCGTATTGGAGGCGTACGGGGAGCTGTCGCGTATTGGAGGCGTACGGGGAGCTGTCGCGTATTGGAGGCGTACGGGGAGCTGTCGCGTATTGGAGGCGTACGGGGAGCTGTCGCGTATTGGAGGCGTACTGGGAGCTGCCGCGTATTGGAGGCGTACGGGGAGCTGCCGCGTATTGGAGGCGTACGGGGAGCTGCCGCGTATTGGAGGCGCACGGGGAGCTGCCGCGTATTGGAGGCGCACGGGGAGCTGCCGCGTATTGGAGGCGCACGGGGAGCTGCCGCGTATTGGAGGCGCACGGGGAGCTGCCGCGTATTGGAGGCGCACGGGGAGCTGCCGCGTATTGGAGGCGTATAGGGACCTGACAACTCTGGCAGACGTCATCAGATAAGAGATTCTATAGCGATGCTGTGTAACCTACTAAATATGTTTTTTTTTTTATTCTGTCAATACAATGTACACAGCTAATTATGTTGTTTTTATTATAGCAATCCAATATAAATAGCTAAATATGTTTTCAATATTATTTATTTCAGGTACTTATATAGCGCTGTTTTCGCAGTGCTTTACATATATTGTACATTGACATCAGTCCTTAACCTTCAAGGGGTGTACAATCTAAGATTCCTAAGGCTGGCCATACATTATACAATTTTCTTGAGATTTTTGGTTTAGATTTACCAAAAACCATATAATAGGAGGTCAAACCTGACAAAACTTTAAATTGTATCCAATTAGGCAGGCTCTTGCGCTACATAGTTGAAGGTAAATCTAAATAAATTGGGTAGAAAATTGTATAGTGTATGTCCAGCCTTACTCACTAGGGCCAATTTAGACAGGAGCCAATTCACCTACCAGCATGTCTTTAGGAGTGTGGGAGGAAACTGGAGTACCTGAAGGAAACCCATGCAGGCACAGGGAGAACATGCAGACTCCAGGCAGGTGGTGCTGTGGTTGGGATTTGAACCAACAACCCTAGTACTGCCAGGTGGAAGTGCTAACCATCTAGCTCCTAGATTGTAAACTCGAAAGAGCAGGGCCCTCTAACCCCTCGTGGATTGTTTTGTTACTGTACTGTCTCGTGTACTGTCTCCCATTATAATGTATAGCGCTGAGCAAACCTTTTGGCGCTATATAAATACTGTATAATAATAATAATTTAGCCACTGTGCAATGTAAACAGCTAAATATGTACATATGCACTCTAATACATTTTCATTAAGAAAGGAGAATACAAGTATTGTGTATGTGATTATCTGTGAAAGGATTCACCAAAGTGGAGGTGTGTTCTGCTTGCACATTCTTGCAGCACTTACCCAGGAGTGATATAGATATATATATATATATATATATATATATCTCCAGTTGTATAGGACTGCTACATTCATGATTATATGGACTTGCTGTTTTATTGTTTATGATTGATTGTTTTTTTTTTTTTTATCTTTCTGTATATTTGATGATTGCTGAAAACACATAGAACACCAGATTACAGACATTGGTTATTACTCAGAGATACATTATTGGTGATAGCGCATTTTACTCTTTTATATATGAAAATAAAAGTAGACATGTAGCAGGTACATGTCAATAAATACTTTATATACGGTGTATATATAAATATATACTGTGTGTAAAAAAAAAAAAAAAAAAAAAAAAAAAAAAAATATATATATATATTATAGACATGCACTCGCTACACTTGAGATATTATATATATATATATATATATATATATATATATATATGTGAGAGAGAGATTACATTTGTGCGCTGAATTTTTTTTTCTGTGTTGCGTTTTAATACACATTTGTCACGCATTTTTAGGTGCACTGCCCCTAATTAGAACACACATTTTCAAGAAATGTGTGACCAGCTATGATGGTGTTTTCTCTTTTAGCAATAGAAATAGATTTACATCTGAAATCAGTTGTCTGAGTTCACACTGATACAATGCAGGGAACCGCATTTGATTCTCACAGGAATCGCATCACAATCCTGTTCAAATCACATGCAGTTCTGAGAGGTGCGACTTGAGCCCATTCATTTTGTGTGGTCAAATCGCATTGCATTTTGCACAAAAAAAGGTGCAGACACCTTTTTTTTTTTTTTTTTTTTTTTTTTTTTTTTTGTCACACTACAATTGGATCCATGGGTGTTCAAACCTATGCGATCCGATTCAGGCACTTGCACTATGTTTTGCAATCTGTTTTTGGGATGTTAACTTAAAATGTTACTAAACCCACAACAGTAAAATCAGTCTGAATATGCAGTAAAGCATGCTTGTTATACTCACTGTGGAACCTAAGGGGTTAATTTTCTGCATTGTGTAAAAAGGCTGTTTGATTCTCTGCCCCTCCTCTTGTTGAAATGACCACCCGATACAGACTGAACCCGTGGTCAGATGCACATGCTCAGTTTGGTGTGTATTGCTAAAGAGGATTAACCTAAGGGGTTAATCCTCCGCATTGTGTAAAAAGGCTGTTTTATCCCGTCTTCTCTGATCCTCTCCTTCTTCCAGTGTCCCTTTCTTATCTCCTGATAAGACACATCATATGGAGAGATTCTGCACATGCTCAGTTTGGTGTGTATTGCTAGAGCTGGTTTTTTTTCTCTTTGGAGGGTGTATGTGATTAGCACAGGACCAAACAGCACTGTCCAGACAGATATCAGGGGTTCTACATCCTTCTAGAGCAGAATGAAAACTCCTCCTACAAGCTTTAACATGTGCTTGGCTGGACACTGTTAGAAGTCACATGACTGCTATATATTGCTGATAAGAAAAGGTATTTAGCAGTTTATATTTACTAAAATAATTGCATTTCCATGTTGCGTGTACTGTGGGAGACCAGATAGAGTGAATGCGGGGTCCTGGGTTTAACACTGACACCCACAGCAGATCGCAGGAAATGCACAGGAATCGCTGCGAATCCTGCACTCACATGGCACCTATGCCATGATACAACTGTATCTTTCTTAAGTCTAGAGCTTCTGCTGAAATAATAAAATGAACTTTGGGTTTGACCACAAAAAAGAGACACGAGTGTGTACTAGACTTTGTATGTAGTCAGTCTGTTGTCTACCAGCCAGCAGTACAAAAGCCATCTGATTGAATGTTACAGTAGAAACAAAGTTTGAATCCATCTAATGTAGATTATTGATATTTTAGGAGAAATTGAGTCTGAATAAAATTCAGCAGTTAATTTGAAATGTACCTTTTTTTTTATACAATTTTAGCAAGAGTAGTCAGAGGTTAGAACCTCTGTTGGGTTTTTATTGCTGTGAGTGTTACCTCTGCAAAGATTCACTCCATCTGTGGGCCCTGGTGTTGCCGCAAAGATTGGCAAAGACAAAGTTGCTTTAAAATATAACTAAAGACAAATTTTGTTTTAGTTTTGGATAGAATTGAGATGGATTAGAACACCTGACAGTTTTTATTGCTGTCTGTGCCCCTATTAGGGAGATCCATCCTCTCTATATATTGAAAGTAAAGGAAAATCCCAAATTTTGGACTTATGAAAATAATTGAGGGGAAATCTTCCAATGGGGACACTAGTTCTGGTGGCCTGGAGAACCCCAAGGGATTCCCTTAATTTGTAGAGGTTTTCCTGTATGGCTATGGGACAGGAAGTAAAGGTAAATCTCCTGAATGGGACACTGCAAAAAAAAAAAAAAATATAATAATCTGACGGTTTATAACCCTCCCTTACTCCATCCAAAATGAAAAAAAGTTTTGACTATAATTCTTTTTTAACAAGTATTTACCTATGGCATTTTAGCCGGACTAAAACACTCCAAAGTTTAGAGCTGTTACCAGAAAAGCAATTAAGAGGAAAACAAAGAAAAAGATTTTTTGACTTTAACTTCTTCCCATCCGCCCATTGCTGATAGATGGCGAACAGGGAAGCTTTGCCGATGCGGGCTAACGTACCTGCACGTGAGCCTTCACCAGTGGCTCCTGTGATGCTCACCTGGGACACAGCAGATCATATTACCAGGCGATTACCATGTGATTGCTGTGACCAATCAAACACTGAAAGTAAAGATCAGTTCTCTCTGCTCTCACTGTGAGAGCAGACAGAAGCGATGCAGCAGCTTGTGAGTGTACAGCAGCCTACGAGGCTGGCATCAGAACAAGTGTCTCTAATGGAAGATTTCTCTTTTTTGACTGGATTCACAAATGTGCGGGGCCGGTTTCAGTGTGATTTGTAAAAGAAGTCTGGTGCGGTTTCATTTAGCGATTCAGGTGTAAATTTTTAATCACACCTGAACCAGACTGAAAATTGTACCTGTATCTTTTTAAAATCACTGCTGGCCCACACATATGTGAACCGGCTCCATAGAAAGTCAGTTTGGCTCACATGTCATGCGAATCAGATGCAGTTCTGAATGCATATGTGTGAATCAGGGCTCATTTCTCTTCTCTACCTGCAAAAAAATGTGCATTTATTATTTTTGTCCAAAAGGTGAACTTTATCCCATCCGCCCTATAGCAGAAGTAGTGCTACAGGGCGGCCTGGGTGCGCCAAATCACGTATATATACGTGATTTTGCATTTCAGAGCAGGGGATGCACGCGCCCTACCTGTGCTGCCATTCACGGCCAAAGCTGTCAATCACCAGGTGCCGACCGGTGATTGCCGAGAATCTCCAACAGGGGAGGGGAGAGACCGGTTTGTAAATAAAACCGTTCTCTCCCCTTTCAGCTCCTGCACACTGCTTTTCATGTGCCATGCAGTGGCAAACACACAGCTTACAGTGAGGCACAAACACAGCACACAGTTATAAATGGCACACAGCTCACAGTTAACCCTTTGATCGCCCCACATGTTAACCCCTTCCTGCCCAGTGCCATTAGTACAGTGTCAGTGCTTTTTGTTAGCATTGATCACTATATTGGTGTCACTGGGGATGTCAGTGACACCAAGTCAATCCCCCCCAGTGTCAGAATGCCCACAGCAGTCCCGCTATAAGTCGCTGGTTGCCGCCATTACTAGTAAAAATTAAAAAAATTAAAAATCCCAGTATATATACCACCATTTGTAAATGCTATAACTTTCACGTAAACCAATTAATTTACACGTATTGGGATTTTTTTTAGCAAAGACATTTAAATAAATTTATGACATTTTAATAGCAAAAAGTTAAAAATATTGTTTTATTCTAAAAATTGTCTGTTTTTTTTGTAGTGAAAAAAAAAACGCAAAAAACGCGCACAGGCGATAAAATACTACCAAAAGAAAGCTCTATTTGTGGGAAAAAAGGACATAAATTTCATTTGGGCACAGCATTGCATGACTGTGCAATTGTCAGTTAAAGTAACGCAGCGCCATAATGCAAAAATGGTCTGGGCAGGAAGGGGGGTAAATTGTTAGGAGGGCAAGTGGTTAGAGCAATTCTGAAATTTGCTCAGGTGGAAATGGGTAACACAACTCTGCTCTAGTCTGTCCCAGAGGCCTAAGTCCAAAGGTTCACATACTTTTTCCTCCCTGCACTGTGAATGTTTACATGTTATGTGCAATTAAACCATGGCAACATGTTTGTGTAGTATTATGTTCAGCAGACTGAGTTCTTCTATTGTTGTGACCTTAGATGACGTTCAGAGCACATTTTATACCCAATTCATGCAAAACTCCACGTAATCCCAGGGGGTTCACATACTTTTTCTTGCAACTGTATATCAGCAGCCAGGGGGAGTGGTTAGATGCAATCTTAGGCGTTGACTTGCAACAAAGTCAACATTTGCATAGCAAATGCTAAATCTGCGTGTTTTTACATAAGAAGAAGTGGAAGAGAAACAGTAGATTACGAGGGTGCCACTATGTTTGCGTACTTAGTGAGTTTCACTTTAATGTAGTCAAACATGCAGAAAGGTTGTTGAAGGTGAAGGAAAGAGAGATGTGTTTTGCATTGAAAACAAATCTTCAAACACAATGCATTTATAGGTTGTCCAGACAGCTTTGTCATAAGCTCCTTACTAAAACCTGCAATGAGTAATCACTGTGGGTATTAGTCAGGTGTGACATGAATGTAACAAATGCCTACCTTCAATATGTTGGAAGCTATACAAGTACCATATAGAAGTGATTATACCTGTATGATTGTACAGTGCCCCAACTGTGTGCAACTAATCTCTACTGCATTCTACTTGTGGGCAGTTATTAGTGGTTGATACCCTTCGAACCACTGAGCTACTTTAAATGGCATGTAGCCATTTGAAAGAAAAAGTTATGTGATCATATTACTGTTTCTGAATAGTATGAATTGATAGACATTTCCCGAAGGGAAACTCTCTGTGAAAGAAAACTGTTGTCTGTTCTTTATCTATTTTTACTGCTGTAATGGCGCATTGGGGTTTATTTACTAAAGCTGGAGAGTGCAAAATTAGGATCACTTCTGCAGAGAAACCAATCAGCTTCTAACCTCAGTTTGTTCAACTATGCTTTGGCAATAAAACCTCAAAGCTGATTGGTTTCTATGCAGAAGCGAGCCTGATTTTGCACTCTCTCCAGCTTTAGTAAATAAACCCCATAGAGTTCTGTAAATAAGGAGCTTCTTTCGGGACAGGTAAATGTAATACAGTGCTTCATTTCTGAAAATCAGACTAGATCTTCTCTTGCTGGCTGGAAAAAAAAAACGCTAAATAATAATAATAATATATAGGATTTATATAGCGCAGCACTTTACCATCTAAAGGAAGACAGTGCAGTTACAATTCAATAAAATACAAGAGAATTAGGATATTAAAGTGGAATTAAATCAAATTTTTTTTCTCTTGTTATTTATATTGCTTATGTCAGTACTTACACCTTTCTAAGGCTAGGTTCATATCTGTGCGGGTGGTGCCAATGCGAATCCGCACAAAAATCCGTGCAGCCGCACCACCCGCACAGAGGAATGCGGACCCGCAGGTGGGTGCTATAAGTTCTAATGGCACGCCGCCCACACTGGAAAACACAACTGTACTGGGAACTGAGGTTCTCGTGCGGGCTGCATTTTCAGAAGTGCAGGGACTTCTTCCCTGCATGTCACGGGCACGGGAGTCCATTCAGATGAATGGGCTCTCGCAGGGGCGGACTGACAACTCATGGGGCCCCTGGGCAATAAGGGATCATGGGGCCCCTGTGTCCTTGCCCAAACTCAAAAAGTCTATGAAAAAGGTACCAGGGGCATCTCATGGGTCCCCTACTGACCCCGGGCCCTTGGGCAGTGCCCGAGTTTCCAAATGGTCAGTCCGCCCCTGCACCAGTGGCTGTCAACTTGTGAGCTAAAAGGGGCCTCAAATGCAGCCCCTAACATTACAGAAGGGCTGCACATTAATGTTCAATATATGTAACGTTTGAGAGGACAGTCAGTCTCGGTTCACACTACTACGACCTGAAAGTCACGCGACTTATAGTGCGACTTTGCCAGGCGACTTTGAGTGCTAGTTTGAAGAGACTCTGAAGCGACTTTCAGGGAATGCCTGGGTAATCTTCCTGTAATGTTGGATCCAAATCACATAAATATAGATGAGGATCCAACTTGGAGGCGACTTCTATTAAAGTCTATGGGCACAAGTTGGATAGAAGTCTCCCTGAAGTAGTACAGGAACCTTTTCTAAAGTCGAAGCAACTTTAGTAGTGCTAATTAAGACAGCTCTCATTGACTAACATGGTATTTCACATGTCATGCGACTTGGGGTCTTACAAGTCGCAGTGTGAACCAAGCCTTAGAAACTGCAGACCTAATAGAGAAAATGAGAGTCCGAGAGCGTGGCTATGCTACATTTTTGGCTGAGGATATGCTGCAGAAGGCAATATGAAACTGGAAACATGTTACATGAGACTAGTAGCGATCAGTACTATTACCCTAATCAATGTAACCCCTACAAACTGCTGAGGTCCGAGGGCCACAAATTTGTATACAAAACCGAAAAAGAAAAGTGCTACAACCCAATTAGAAGTCCATACCAGCGACCCGGCAGGTGCATGATCCGCAGATGCTTGTCTGTTGAAGAACTCGGTGAAAAAAAACCGATCCGCACTACCGCCACTGCACTAAAATCTTTGTTGTATCGACCCCCCAGAGTTATGACTAAGGCTGTGTAGCCGAAACACGTCAACCTACTGTATCTTTGATGTAATTTTTGTGTGGTCGATACAATAAAGATGATTTTAGCGCAGTGCCTGTAGTGCAGATCACTTTTTTCCGCAAATTGTATACCAGAGGGCTGTAGGTTAGGCACCAGGGACTTGCACTACATGCTGCTTTTCAATCTTGTGAGATCTTGCTTTTTCCTACCGCAGATGTTTCTTTTAGCGCTGTTCATTGTTGGTTGCCTCCTTTCCCTTGCAGGACCATATGGAGCCACCCTTGCATGTGTGCTTCTGCTTGGGACTACCACAGCAGAAACACTACTTGTGCGCACAACTTTGCTTCTCCTCCAATGTATGACTAAAGCTCGGTCTAGAAGGATGTTGCATAGTGATAGGGTGATGGAATATGTAGTTAAATAAAGATGAATATGTAACCTGCTCAGTTCAGGAAAGTGCTGCTGAGCAATCTGGATCGAATGGCTATGATCAGTGATATTTGTGCTTTCAAAAAATAATAGGGATTTTTGGAATACTGGTTAATGATCTATTACAGGGGTCTCCAGACTTTTTAAACAAAGGGCCAGTTTACGGTCCTTCTGACTTTAGGAGGGCCAGACTTTGGCCATTGGGAGTAGAAAATGTGCCAGCATCAGTGGGAGTAAACAATGCCCCAGCTTTGGTGTCATTGGGTCCCATTGTTGGTGTCATTAGGAGGAATTGTCACCCATTGATGTCATTGGGAGGAAATTGTGCCCCTTTGTTGGTGTCAATGGGGGGGAATTGTGCCCCATTGTTGATGTCAGTGGATAAAATATTGTCCCAAGGGCCAGATAAAAGCAAACAAAGGGCCACATCTGGCCCCCAGGCTGCAGTTTGGAGACCACTGATCTATTAGAATGGAAAAAAACTGGGACTTTAGTACTACTTTTAATATGCAATGTTTAGCAAACAAAAAAAAGTTCTGCCCATAAAACAAGTATAAAATCCGTATATATTCCCTGTAAGTAAAATGAGCTGTGTCAGGATTTTCCCTTCAACATGTTTTGTCCTTTCCTCAATGACATCCTATTGATTCCCGTGAATGGTGAAGAAGCAGATTTCAGCTAACAAAGCAGACTCTTGAGCACATATTAAGGGCCAGGCTAATAAAACATAATTTATTGGACACTACATTGCTGTTAGAACATGCAGCCTTGGTCTGTCCTTTGTGCATGCAGACAGAATGGGCCAGGAAGGAGGTCTGAAGATAGACATATATTGCCTGCTTGTGTTTTGTACATACTTGGGTTGGTTAATTAAAACTGTACAAAGGAAGGGTTCCATGTACGTGTTCACGTTACAAAGTAATGCTAATAACTGATTGGTAGCTGTCATCCTATAATTCCTCCTGTTTTTATAAATCAGACCCAAAAAGTGAAACTCAAACTCAATATCCTTCTCCCCCCCCCAAAATAAATATACACATCCACTACTTAATGGCCCTGTAATCTGTTTTTCATTAAATCATTTCTAAGGCTAGGTTCATATCTGTGCGGGTGGTGCCAATGCAGATCTGCACAAAAATCTGTGCAGCCGCACCACCCGCACAAAGAAATGCGGACCCGCAGGTGGGTGCTATTAGTTCTAATGGCACGCAGCCCACACTGGAAAACACAACTGTACTGGGAACGGAGGTTCCCGTGTGGGCTGCGTTTTCAGAAGTGCAGGGACTTCTTCCCTGCATGTCACGGGCACGGGAGTCCATTCAGATGAATGGGCTCTCGCAGGGGCGGACTGACAACTCATGGGGCCCCCGGGCAATAGGGGATCATGGGGCCCCTGTGTCCTTGCTTAAACTCAAAAAAGCCTATGAAAAAGGTACCAGGGGCATCTCATGGGGCCCCCTACTGACCAGGGCCCTCGGGCAATGCCCGAGTTTCCAAATAGTCAGTCCGCCCCTGGGCTCTCATGTGCGCGCAAAACACGGCCTGCACGGCAGTATATATGTGGACCAGGGCTTAGTATTTTTCTGCCTCCATGCAATGACTTCCATGAGCTCCACATCACATCCTTTTCTCCTTACATCCGTTTGTTTGGAATGAGCAGTGTGCATTAGTTGTGGTCTTGTGCACTGCTCTATGCTGCTACAAATTCCATAGTCCATCTCAGGAGCAAACAAGAAAGGGTGGCTATGATCCTAGGAATGTAGTCCCCCTCATAGGCCTTAGCACAACAGAGTAAAAAAAACAGTACGTTAGAAAATTTTACATTTGAATAATTTCCGCGTATATTTATTTTAGGTACTTCTATAGCGCCATCAGTTTACGCAGTGCTTTACATATACAGTCAGGTCCATAAATATTGGGACATCGACACAATTGTAACATTTTTGGCTCTATACACCACCACAATGGATTTGAAATGAAACAAACAAGATGTGCTTTAACTACAGACTGTCAGCTTTAATTTGAGGGTATTTACATCCAAATCAGGTGAACGGTGTAGGAATTACAACAGTTTGCATATGTGCCTCCCACTTGTTAAGGGACCAAAAGTAATGGGACAATTTGCTACTCAGCCGTTCCATGGCCAGGTGTGTGTTATTCCCTCATTATCCTAATTACAATGAGCAGATAAAAGGTCCAGAGTTCATTTCAAGTGTGCTATTTGCATTTGGCATCTGTTGCTGTCAACTCTCAATATGAGATCCAAAGAGCTGTCACTATCAGTGAAGCAAGCCATCCTTAGGCTGAAAAAACAAAACAAACCCATCAGAAAGATAGCAAAAACATTAGGCGTGGCCAAAACAACTGTTTGGAACATTCTTAAAAAGAAGGAACGCACCGGTGAGCTGAGCAACGCCCAAAAGACCCGGAAGACCACGGAAAACAACTGTGGTGGATGACCGAAGAATTCTTTCCCTGGTGAAGAAAACACCCTTCACAACAGTTGGCCAGATCAAGAACACTCTCCAGGAGGTAGGTGTATGTGTGTCAAAGTCACCAATCAAGAGAAGACTTCACCAGAGTGAATACAGAGGGTTCACCACAAGATGGAAAACCATTGGTGAGCCTCAAAAACAGAAAGGCCAGATTAGAGTTTGCCAAACGACATCTAAAAAAGCCTTCACAGTTCTGGAACAACATCCTATGGACAGGTGAGACCAAGATCAACTTGTACCAGAGTGATGGGAAGAGAAGAGTATGGAGAAGGAAAGGAACTGCTCATGATCCTAAGCATACCACCTCATCAGTGAAGCATGGTGGTGGTAGTGTCATGGCGTGGGCATGTATGGCTGCCAATGGAGCTGGTTTTCTTGTATTTATTGATGATGTGACTGCTGACAAAAGCAGCAGGATGAATTCTGAAGTGTTTCAGGAATATTATCTGCTCATATTCAGCCAAATGCTTCAGAACTCATTGGACGCCGCTTCACAGTGCAGATGGACAATGACCCAAAGCATACTGCAAAAGCAACCAAAGAGTTTTTTAAGTGGAATGTTATGCAATGGCCACGTCAATCACCTGACCTGAATCCGACTGAGCATGCATTTCACTTGCTGAAGACAAAACTGAAGGGAAAATGCCCCAAGAACAATCAGGAACTGAAGACAGTTGCAGTAGAGGCCTGGCAGAGCATCACCAGGGATGAAACCCAGCGTCTGGTGATGTCTATGCGTTCCAGACTTCAGGCTGTAATTGACTGCAAAGGATTTGCAACCAAGTATTAAAAAGTGAAAGTTTGATTTATGATTATTATTCTGTCCCATTACTTTTGGTCCCTTAACAAGTGGGAGGCACATATGCAAACTGTTGTACTTCCTACACCGTTCACCTGATTTGGATGTAAATACCCTCAAATTAAAGCTGACAGTCTGCAGTTAAAGCACATCTTGTTCATTTCATTTCAAATCCATTGTGGTGGTGTATAGAGCCAAAAATGTTACAATTGTGTCGATGTCCCAATATTTATGGACCTGACTGTATATTGTACATTCACATCAGTCCCTAACCCTCAAGGGGCATACAATCTAAGGTCCCTAACTTACATTCATCATACATACTAGGGCCAATTTAGACAGGATCCAATTAACCTACCAGCATGTCTTTGGAGTGTGGGAGGAAACCGGAGTACCCAGAGGAAACCCACGCAGTCACAGGGAGAACATGCAAACTCCAGGCAGGTGGTGCTGGGGTTGTGATTAGAACCAGCGACCCTAGTACTGCCAGGCGGAAGTGCTAACCATTTAGCCACTGTGTATATGCGTTTTTGCGTGTCTATAAGCCCTCATGCACACTTGACATTTTTACAGCTGCTGTTTTTGGCGTTTGACATTTTTTCTAGTCCATAAACTCCCCAGCATGTTCTCCTATGTGTCCATGCACACATAGGCTGCAATCAATGTTTTTTGGCTGGGACGTTTTTTAGCTGTAAAAAAACCCAGAACTAGTGGGTTCCTGGAAGAGTTTTTTAGTTGTAAAAACACTCTAATGCTGAAAAACGTTGTGAAACGCAGCAAACCAGAGTCTTTGTACTTTTTTTTTTTTTTACACCCCCCCCCCAAAAAAAATTTCTTTTGAGTAAAAAAAAACTGCTAAAAAACACAAACATGGAAAAAACGCGGGAAACTACCGCTAAACGCTAATGCAAAACCACAAAAAAAAAAAAGCTGCAAAACTCAAGTTTTTAATGTGACTTTACACAGCTAATGTTACCAGTGTTATCAAAACGTCAAGTGTGCCTGAGGACTAGGCATGTTTACGTGTGTATAAATGTGTATATTACAGCACTGGCAATGAAGAAGAATTTTACTTGTCTATATATGCACCTTTGCGCACCTATTCACGTGTTTACACAAGGTCTTTATATTTAACTCAGGATTTGTCAACAAGATCCTGAATATAAACATCAGTAAATTATTACGCCTGTGTGCAACAGAAAGTTGGATGACAGCCGCAAAAAAAAAAAAAAAGAAAGATTTGCAGGAACCTGAGTGCAATAATCATTTTAAGGTCTACTGCTCATAGCTGCCTGAAAACACTCAGTTTTCATACACAGGCATTTTTTCTTTAATGATCTAGCTGCAGCCCATTGTTTTGAATGTGCCTGTACACACAGGAGTGTGAGCATGCTCTGCATATTAATCGGTAAGAAAAAAAATACAGAAATCAGAGTTACTGGTCGGTACTTTTGTGTGTATACTCGCAAATACGCATAAATGTCATGTTTCCTGCTTGTGTGTGCATGCTCGCAGATATTCTCAAGTGATTTACAGCCCATCCTTCTGTTTTTTTCTGCCAGGAGTGTCTGATGATTCTAGATCAGTACAGTGTGTAAGAGGCCTTAGGAGTATATACTTGAATAGAATATATTTATTTCTAAACTAGAGATTAGGGTCACTTTAAGATTTCTGAGTCTTTTTTGCAGCAATGGGGTAGGTATGCAGTGACACCAGTGGCAGCGCCCTGTACGGGTACACACTCCTCTCTCGACTTCCATTCATGTCAGTTCACTCATTACGTGCATTAACATGCTTTGTGTTAACCTGTGTTTATTCAGATAGATAATAGAATACCCAGATGTATTATGGGCCTAACCTATAGAAGATGCGTGTTGATTCATGTTTAAATTTAGCAAAACAATGATAACATCTCATTCATATTTCTGCATAGAAGCACACTTACATAATACATGTTACTGCAACTTCAATTTCATATTCTATTTCCTAATGTGATTCAGGGAGTCATTTGTGTTCGTAATTGCTCAGACTCTGAACTGCTTTAGGCTAGGTTCACATCTGTGCGGGTGGTGCCGCTGCGAATCCGCACGAAAATCCATGCAGCCGCACGACCCGCATAGAGAAATGCGGACCCGCGGGCAGGTGCCATTAGTTCTAATGGCACGCCACCCGCACTAGAAAACGCAACCGTACTGGGAACTGGGGTTCCCATGTGGGTTACATTTTCAAAAAAAGTGCAGGGACTTCTTCCCTGTGTGTCATGGAGCATGGGAGTCCATTCAATTGAATGGGCTCTCGTATCCGCACAGAACGCGGCCCATACGGCCGCATATATTTGAACCAGGGCTGCAAGTGGAGTTACACTCGAAAGTGGAAGATCTGCTTATTTGCCATTTCCCCCCCCCCCCCCCCTTTTCCAATGCCATATTTGGCACCTTTTGGGGGGGAGCGGTTACCTGGTTTTGACAGGTACCCGCTCCCACTTCTGGCTCAGTTCACAGTGGCAAAGTGAGCCGGAAGTTCAGTCCACTCCTCCCTCCCTCAGTCTCCTGGGAACCTTCACAGGTCCCAGAAGACTGCCAGACCAATCGGGAGGCACAGCACAACTCGCACATGCGCAGTGGGCACTCGGCTGTGAAATCTGTCACAGCCTGGTACCCACAGTTGAGATGCCAGCGCCATGGAGAGAAGAAGAAGAGAAGGGACGGAGCAGGTGAGCACATCCCTGGACCCTGGGACAGGTAAGTGTTTGTTTATTAAAAGTCAGCTGCTGACTTTTAATAAACACAAAAACGACTGGAGCTCCACTTTAACTACTTTGGCTGTCATATCTGTTCACCCCCAATGGACCAGAGCAATTTGTACATTCCTGCTATGGGCCTGTTTATTCAGCTATAACTTTGTCATTACTTACGTAATATCCATAAGATAAAAAATTGCAGCGCTAATTGATTAGAAAATTTCCCATTCACAAAAATGGCAATAAATATATATAAATGACAACAAAGTCCATGTGGGATTCCCATATATGAAAGCAGAAACTGGTGCATAGGAAAGAGAGT